TTCTCAAAACTATGTTTTTTGAACTGGTGACAACTGTAACTCAAAAACCGCTTATTTACATTAAAACCGCTTATTTTAATGAAATTTATACAGCTTTAGAATACATAATAAACTCGGGCTTGATCGAAAGGTTTTATTATTTTTTTTAATTTAAATTTTTTAAGACCAATTAACTGTTGATTTTTTTCACAAATTTAGATTTTTCTTTTATATGCCCGCCGTTTTGTTAATTTTTGCAAAAAAAAGAAAGAAAAGCTTCGATCAGGCCCGTGGATTATCTAACTATTTTTTATTCAAGAAGGTTATGCCTATCACCGCCAGAACGTTTTTTTTACTTTCAAAACATTGTATAATAATGTCGTATTTGAATTACGTTATGTCGTAATACTTATTGTGTGAACAAACGGAATTCCTCTCATCTTATACATCACAGTTACAAAGTCATAATAAATTTGATGAAAAGTAATTTTTTACAAAGTTCTTAAATTTTTGTTCGTTAAATCTCTTTCTCTGTTTCTCATTCCTCTTTTATCTCTTGCACCCCGCATACACTCACTCTACGTATGTGCCTCGTAACCTTGAATTGATTTGTGTTACTATGCATTCCGAGCGAAGAACACATAATATTAGGAGGTCAATATGTGCTCTTTTACATTCACTTATAGGCTAAGACAATATTAAATATAATAAATTCATGATTATGAATGAGGAAACTGCAATGTCTACATTATTATTACCGAAAGCAGTTGAGATGAGCCAAAAAATAAAATAATATAAGATGCAAATAATATACATGGTTGTCAGTTGCATGGTTTTCAGCGGGCTGTCAGTGATTGCGCTCAACATATTCAATTTGACAGATTATTATTTTTTAACTGATGCAGTCGTTTTGCCATACTTTACTAAGTTACAATACAAAAAAAATACGTATTCAAAAAATTATTTAGAAGTTTCGTTGTGTCAAAAATTCATGTTTGCCATTGGATACGGAATATTTACTCAAGTCAATGGAGCGTTCGGGTCTGAATTTTTTTTTTACTGTTTTCCAATTCGTATGAAGTTTTGAATTAGGATCATCTTACTCTGAAGTTCAAAAGTGAAAATAATTTAGACTCATTTGCCACTTCCCGGGGATGACATTTCTTTTCAGTGTGTAATTTTACTTATTTCAGAATAACGTCGAGTATCGATAAAAGAACTAATTATAAGACTAAAATGTTTAATGTTTTTCAAAGAAGTAAATACTTTTCAAGTTACTGGCTACTGAAAATTTGTTTCTTTTTTGCGTTTTCACCGTTTTTTTGCTAATATCTTCAAAAATACACATTTTAATAAAAATCGTGTAATGAACAAAAACTATATCAATTAAAATCTTAATAAATCGCTATTTAATAATGTTTTAGGAACAATATTAAGCTAGATATAAAATGGATTTTTACAGTGCTCAAAATAAGCTTTTAAATGAGTACTTCTGCGTGTAAAATGAGTGAGCTATCATGCAAATAAAGACGCATACAATGTTTTTTTCGTTCAAATCAAAAAGTTTATGAGCGCCATTTCCACCAAATTAAAAATAATCGTATTCCATCTAGAATTAACTTGGTTTAAGAGATCTTGATGGATTCTAGAAAATACCACAACTTTAGTACAAACGATTTTCAAAAAACTCATGATTTCATGAAAAAAAAACATTAAAAAAAACAACCAATTTCTCATTATAATATCTCTGAAAGAATACGTATAAAAGTATATATATGAAAATTCAAGGTCTTTTTCTAATTATTGCTTTTTATTATTTTTCTGTTGCACAAATATTGATAGAGTTATGATTGTTCAAGAGTACGCAACTGTCCATAATGTATATTGAATTATTAGTGAAAAAAATGTAATTTAGATATTAAAAATACTAAAAGCCAGTTAAAATATGGTACGAAATTATAAAAATTATAGGCAACATTATTGAAACAATTACATAGAAAGAATAGGGTAGAAAATAAAAGGTGTTATTGTACCTTTACCGCGCATGCTATATATTAATTATTTTTGAATTTGATATACTTTTTAAAAGATTTAAATTTTCAACACGTATATCTTGACAATATGACAATAAATACATCACTAAGGCAGACGATGATTTTTTTGTGATAAATTTGGAAAATCAATGTTTTCGTCGTGAATAAACAAAAAATCATTCATTTATACATCCATATCTATAGGTATGACTAAAAATATTGGATAACCCTTGTTCTATAAATTGCCGTGTATAATTTTTAATATACAATTTTATTGAACATATTTTAATATTTGTTAAAGATAATTAAAGCGTTAACTGTGGGAATTGAGAATAATCATTTTATTTGAAACATCACTCATAGATTGGTGTAAATAGTAATTCGAAAAACAATTATTATTATTTTTAACTGAACGGTATAAATATTAGTATAGGATATTAAAAAAACGTAGATGTGGGTACGGGACAACGTCTGCCGGGTCATCTAGTATATATATATATATATATATATATATATATATATATGAGTATTTTATCATTATTTACATTTTTTTATTTATACCTGAAAGATGACACATATCTAGTGTCGAAACTAGTACTGTCAATGAATAAAATATAATCTTAGTACTTATTTTATTGTCTACTTCATTCATTTGTGTTTGGTTATATATGAAAAATTACTTGGCGGAAAGTGTGTTACAAATGAATATAATAAATGATTTGATTCATCAGTAGCTATCTTGTTTAGGTACCACGAGATAGTTTCCATCATGTAGTAACTGCTTGTGGCTTGCCAATGTACTGGAAAGCGCCTCTTTATTCAACAACTCCTTCTAGTCCCAGTGGTCATGTGGATGGTCATAAATTTATTGACTTCTGGAAAAAGTAAGTATTCTGAAATATTATTATATAATTATAATTATATAATTATATTAATATAGAGCAAATTCATAGCATATTATTATCATCATATTATCATTGACCATAAAAGTCTTCTTCTTTATAACATACTGTTAATTCGATAGTATTTATATATTATCGTTTTGTAGAATGGTGGCAAATTGCCATGATGCTGCTTCTCGCTTTATCTTCATATGCACTAAAGGCGATCCCTCTAGGCGCTATTTGAGAGCTGACGATCTAGTGCCATTAGTACAGGACGTGGTTGAGAGACATCCTGGTTTAGCTTTCTTAAGATCAGCCAGAGAATTCCATTCAAGATACGTTCATACAGTTATTGCCCGAGTATTTTACACAGTCAACAGATCTTGGTCTGGTAGAATCAGTGTACCTGAGTTGAGAAGATCTGATTTTTTGCAGGTAAATATTCGTTTTTTTCCTTTAAAGTAAAACTTCTTTAGGCGCGACATGGGTGTAAATCCGTACAAATGCAACGGAAGTGAGTTACGGCAAGGTCAAGTGCCAATGATCATTCGCTCTCAATGAGATCACTTCCATACGGTAGATTCTTCTTATTTTTTTCTTTGTATGCGTTCTGCGAGGCTTCTTTATATGCGTTACTTCATACGAACGTACATAAATAAGGAAACGTGCGTACGTCACTGAAAGCGTGAAGCATATTGTTCATTTTTCGTGTTTCATGTCATTACATTTTAAGGTTGAATATTAGTACAAATTTTGAGTTAATAAAAAATGTCTGGATCGGAAGAATATTTTATTCGGTCCCCCATAAATAATTGTAGTGCAAATAATAAAACAAATGAAAAATCTGTGCCGTGTAAGAAACGTAAGTTTATTGAAGTAGTTTGTATGACAAGTAAAGTTGTGAAAACAATATTTATTTAGACGTTATTTGACATAATAATTCTCTGCATTTTTATAGATATTACAAAGTATTAAAGCAGTACTTGCTTCATTCTAATTTTAACATGCCGAGGATATATCTTTTTCAGAATTATATTTCAAACACTTTTGGAAGTTTAGAGGAAGTCTACATGTTTTTCGTTTATGATGGCTATTAAGTATTGCATATTTTTATAAATAATGAAGGATAATATTCAGATTTATTACTATAAACAAGAGATCAAGCACAACAATAGTTTGTGTAGCTGTGTATCATTTATATACAGATATACTTTATTATGGACATCTATGCAGTTTATTTATTGCTAGTGTTCATGAAATTATTCACTGCGTGAACGAATATTATAGAATTTATTAATCATTACTTCATTTCTCTAATAAAGGTTCAAGTCCTAGGTGCTAATTCCAATGACAAACCGATCATGTCGTATTTGAAATGACTTTGATTGCATTATTGTTTTCAAATATTATATATATTTTTAATGCTATTATAAATTTATAATTTATTATTATATAAATATGTATGATGGTTGACATTAAAAAATGTGTGCATCACGAGTGTTACCATATTACTGATGAACATTATTCAAAATTGTTATATGATGTATTTATTTATTTTTATCTTAAATGCCATCTGGTACAATAGCAAATAAGTTTTACTTCAGTCGCGTGTCAACCTTACGCGCACTCTTATTCTTTATTTTAATCTGAAATATTTAAATTAAAAAGCTGGAATTTCTGAAACTAACTTTTATTCATAACCACTACCAATTTTTAATTAATTACGGCATCAGTAGCATTATTAAATCTCTTCAAATTCTATACTTTAGGTATGGTAGAACCAGGGTTAATGGTATACTAGTTGAAAACGCCACCGTATTTATATAAAAAACCAGTGGTGCATCGTGCCTTAAGGCTTGATTTTTTTTTTATAGCAATAGCTCTATGTAACTAGCTTTGCAGTCTAACGGATAAACATACAAACGGAATCCAAAGAAATGTAACCAAAATTTTGAGCTCATTATTAAAATCTCTACAAAATATCTAATTATTTGATGTGCATATGATTAATGATTATTTTTGACCGCTAAACTGCCTTTTGGTTTACTTTTTTTTATCGCATCTCCGCCTTTGCTAAAATTCATTCAATTCTTCATTTTGCCAATACAAATAAAATATTTTTTGTATCATTCAAACCGGCCGCTCCATTCTCTCAAATACTGAATTACCATTTTTGGCACTTTTTGCCCCGTATTTTCGAAGCGGTTAAACCTGCCTTTATCAAAAACTAATAAACACGCCCCATTAATAGGAATCGAATGTTTTTTGAATAATTGAAATCGGTTTATTCCTGTTCTCGAAATCGTCGACCAAAAACTGTAATCCGCATACACTAGCACTCACACATATATATATATATACATACACATGACATGCATCTATTTTTTCTAAAGTATGCAAAAATGTTCAGAAGGCTTTGAATCTTAAAGATATGCACTATAACTTACCCTACGAAAAACAATCTTGAAAAGAAAAAGAAATTGGATCGAACCCTTTCTGCAAAAAGAGTGCCTCCAACACTTGGTAAAATAGAAAAACTAAAAGGTAAAACAATGTGTAAAAAAGGGAGAATAGTGGTAATGGGAATGATAGACGAAAGGGAAAGAAATAGATAGATGAAAGGGAAAGGAAATCATTGATTTATGGTGGCTCTCATACCATTGACTTGCCTTCGGGCAGACTACCATATAATATTATTACCATATGGACAGTTAACAAAGTAAAATATATTTCTGGTGTAACCGGCCATCAACATCATGCAATATGCTAACCTACGTATTTCTTTCGGTATTTTTTTTTGTTTTAAGCATAGTTATTTAGATTTAATAATTTAATAATTTAATTTAATACCAGATTGTTCAGTTGTTGGAAGAAGAGGAAGATATCAATCAAATAACTGCATATTTCAGTTATGAACATTTTTACGTTATATACTGCAAATTTTGGGAACTTGATCGAGATCATGATCTTTATATTGATAAACAAGATCTTGCAAGACATAATGACCATGGTATGTATAATGAAACACACATAAGGATATTTGGTAATAAATATAATAAAGTTTTTGTGCTATTTTTTGCGATAGAAAAATATATTTATCTTACTCTTACTAGTTATATTGGATTCCAAATATAAATTTTAGCTACTTGCATGAGATGATTTCTTCGATATGTATCGCAAGCTTTCTTATATGCCTGCCTGAAGCATCTGTTAATTATTGAATTGCGTTTGATTATGACCATTGTATTTTGAACAAACTCATTTCTTTAATTTCTTATATTTAATATTGCGAAAATACTGTCTGTATTTTTTTCAGCACTATTGATTTATTTTTCTTACTGTTTAATTTCGTTGTTGGTAAAAGATGTCCATTGTGTATTATCAATAAAATCTATTATTCAATATGCATATTATTTTTAGCACTCTCATCAAGGATGATAGAACGAATATTCAGCGGTTGCGTGACGCGTGGTTCTACTGGCCCTCAAGCACGAATGAGTTACACAGAGTTTGTTTGGTTCCTTCTAGCAGAAGAAGACAAAACTCATCCTACTGCTATTGAATATTGGTTCCGTTGCATGGATTTAGATGGAGATGGTATTTTGTCCATGTACGAACTAGAATACTTTTATGATGAACAGACACATCGTATGGAATCAATCGGTATCGAAACGTTGCCGTTCGAAGACTGTTTGTGTCAGGTAAGATTTTGATAGCTTGGCGGTTCAAATGCTTCTTACCATTTTAGAATACTGTATAAGTTGCATGCACTTTTCGACACGTAAATAATCGACTTTCAAATTTTCAACAGTTTATTTCGAAAATATTATTTTGCCTTCACTAAATACTAATCAACGCTACTTACAATTGTAATCTGAAAATTAAACATATAATATCTCTATTATAATATCTATAATTGTATTAATTATATGGCACATACGCGCTGTTGCCATTATAATGTTTGGACTTTTTTTATTATTTTTTTTATAATTTAACCACTTTTTGTTGGTCTCTTATTTTATTTTGTTCTTTAACCCAAGAGCACTATCGCCATATTAAGTTCAATTGAAACACAAGAAATTCTTATTTAAAATACTGCTAAAAAACGGCCCGGCTAAAAACTAATAACTTTCAGTTCAGTTCAGGATATTTGTTTATTTGTAGAATCAGGAATTTTGCACTTTTCTATTAATTATAAAAGAACGGTTCGGCCGGCCTTTCGTTTTGCATGTCTAATCCACGCGAGTTCTATTCGAGTTGCATTGAATGGCTTTTAAATTCGGGAGAACGAAAGGTTAAATTACGGAAGGCGAAAGGTCAAATTACGGCAACATACACATACGCAAATACTTTTCCCATTTTAGTCTCCAGCGATTCAGATTGTCTTGAACAGTCGAGAAAAGAAAATTAGCATGTCGGATTCCAACGATTAATCGATAACGGTAAAACATAAACCAAACCTTCAGGAAGTGAAAACATTTGTATGCGATGCATATTTGAATACAATTTTTAACTCTGCGAAGGAGAAGTTTGTTTCCATCAAAAAATCCTATTCGCTAATTTTATGTTTTCTCGACGTTTCAAGCTACTCTGAATTGAATGAGATCTATTTTGGAAAAAGTATATGTGTATGTGGGTGAACAGATTTTTTGCCGTAAATCGACGTTTTCTCAAAAACGGCTGGACCGATTACAATAATTTAAAAGCTATTCGATGTATTTTGATGAGGACTATCGTTTGTCAGTTTTGCGCTACGATCGGCCAAACCGATTCTTTGTAAATCGCAGAAAAGTGAAAAATTTATCATCCACGTTTTTGCCTGCAATTCTGGGTTGGGAATCGACCTGATTAGTTTTTGGTTAAGATCGTCCGGGCCGTTTTTTTGTAAAAAAGTATTAAATTTTTTTTTTTTTGACAATTTTTATGTTTTTTTTTTGACCGTAGATACCATAGTCTTGTAGATCATACTAAAATATCACGGCCCTACGACAAGTCGTTTAATTTTAATAATTATTCAAAGTTTGCAAAAATATGTATCGTTTTTTTGGCATTTGTCAAAATTAGATCGTTTATCGACGTTTTCTCAAAAACGAATTTTAAGAAATTTAAATTAAAATTTGATGTATCTCAATGAGGACTATTGTTTGTCAGTTTTGTGAGGCGATTCGCCGAGTCGTTTCTTTGTAATTTGAAAAAAAGTGTTAAACTTTTCGTCCACATTTAAACTCACACTACCGGAGCGATTTTGAAATATCAAAAACTGTTCGAAAGATATTGGTTGGGAATGATACTGATTAGTTTTAGGTGAAAATCTACCGAGCCGTTTTCTTGTAATTAACTGTTGAAAAAAAGTTTGTCAATTTTTGTGGAACTTTTTTTGGAGATATATATCATGGTCTTATAGACTTTACTGAAATATTACGGCGTTACAAGTAGTTTAATTTTAAAAATTCGTCAAAGTTTGAGAAAATGAGTAGTTTTTTTGATGTTAGTTAGAATTAAAATCAGACGATTTACTTGGTGATTAAGAGTACTTAATCTTAATGAACCAACTAAACCATTAAAATCCTACGGAAACTGGTTCAATTATCAAAATTTGTGAAAATTTGCTTTTAGAAAATACTCCGAGTTAACGTGTTCGTTCCTTTTCAATTATGTGTAATAAATCCACTCGGAATACTTTTAATCACTAATAAATTTATTTATTTTTTATTGAATAAGTCGATTATTTACACAATTACAAAATAAAAATAACAACTAGTTGGTGTTTCATTTTGATTAATTGTTAATTTGGTGCAGAATATGTTATAGTAATCGCAAGAAAATGAAAATGAAATTTTTTATTTATTTTTACGTTTCAAAGCCATCTCAACATTTTAACGTAAATTATAAAAAATGTATTTATGTGTGTATGTGTATATTTCGTACAATTCTCGTCTACGATTTTAAGAGCACGATTTCAAAATTTAAAAATTTACAAAATTCGATTCATATTGATGTGGAGTCGTGCTCCTTTGTTTTTGAAAAATCCATGCGCAGCTGCTTCAAAGATACAAGGCAAAAAGTGAAAAAGGGCAAACTTTCGTTTTTTGAGAGATCACTTGTTTAATGATTCAAAAAACATTTCACTTGTATTGATGAATGAAGAATTGGTTAAACTTTTAGTCAAGCGGTTTTCGACAGCCAATAAAAAAACTAGTGGGGCGCATGGCATCGTGCCTTAAGGCAAATTGCTGGAACTTCCCGTTCCAAAAAAAAATTTTTTTTCAACATTTTCGAAAAAATTTTAATTTGAAGGAATTAGATTTTTGAGAAACTATAAATTTTTGACAAAAATTTACTTTTTTGATAAAAAGATTTTTTTAAAAAAATGTTTATTTTATTTTGAAATATTTTGAAAATTCTGAACTTTTTTTTTTTTTGACCGCCAAATATCACTTTTTTTTACTTTTTTTTACTAGATCTCCGAAACCGCTAGACCTTCCTTGATGAAAATTTAAACAGTCTTTATCAATACAAGTAAAATGTTTTCTGAATCATCAAAATCGGACGCTCCGTTCTCTTAAAAACTGAGTTACCGTTTGTGGCACTTTTTGCCCCGTATCTTTGAAACGGCTAGACCAAAACTATGCCAAAAACTAATCAGCACATCTCCTTATCAACAGCAATCCAATGTATTTTGAATGCAGAATGTGTTTTGCGACAGTTTTAGATTTTTGTCATTCTTTTAATTTTTATTATTTTTAATTATATTACGCAGATGCTGGATATGATACGTCCGGCTAAGCCTGGCTGTATATCTTTGTCGGATCTAAAAAAATGTAAAATGACACCAATTTTCTTCGATACATTCTTTAATCTCGAAAAATATTTAGATCATGAACAAAGAGATCCTTTTGCGAACCAGAGAGAACAGGATGGTGATGAGGTAATTTTATTGAAATTAGTCATCTACTCTTCTCTGACTTTTTTCATTTTCTTCTTAAATCATAGATAGATCATATGTATGCAAATTCATTATAATCAGTCATACAAAAATATATGCAATTAAAAAGAAATCCATAGAATTTTGTATTGTTTTCGAAAGATTTCATAATATAATATTCATGCTATAGAATTAAAAAAAAAAAAACTTTTTGATTATTTGAAAAAAAAACTTTTATTTTTACTATATATTTTTGCAATTTGCATTTAACATGAACTTTTCGCGGTTTTAGCTATCTGATTGGGATCGCTTTGCGGCTGAAGAATATGAACTTCTTGTTGCCGAGGAAGGTGCCGATGCTCAAGATCAATGGTAAATAATTCAACATTTCATGTATTAAAATTCAAATGGCGTTTAAAAAGTATTTTACATTTTCATACTTTTTCCTGCTTTTATTCATTAAAAATTTCATACAAACATATTTCATTGATCCTGTATCGATTTATATTGTTTATGTTTGTAGTACCATTATAATTTATTTAATTTTCAAATTGTTTTTTTTACAAAGGGCGGAGAGTTCGGGGTTCGATAGGGTAAGCTTCTGCAATAGCATGACAAAATGTTGCTTTTTCTATTTAACTTACTTGTCTTTTAATGCTATTCAATAATTTCGTTTAGAATGTGATAACATTTCCGGGACTATAATTAACTATAGTTATGTATTACCAAAATATATAAATATACATATATTTTAAAGTATTTTTCACATTATTTTAATGCGAATTTAACCACAAATAATGAGTGCATGATTCGGGACATTTTTAAGAATACTTGAATACATTAACATCTTAATAATTTTGAATGTTTTTGGGTTTTATCAAATAACGATCATTTTAGTAATATAATCGTATAATCTTATAACAAAGATTAACAAAATTGTAAATAATCAAAAAAGAATAAATGAATTCAAATTTGAGTAACTAATATTTCTAACATCGACAACGACCACTATATAATTTACTTGGTAGGAATAAATGTTAAAAAATTGGTTACGCAAATTTGTGGTTTTTACTTTTTGGTTCTGAAATATCATAACTTATATAAAATGTTCAAATTTTAACGTTTATTGTTATTCATTTTGTGTCTTACATCATTCATTTCATAGAGTTCTTAGATCATTAAAGTATAGGATCCGCCAAATAACTTTTTTTTCAAATTCTCTAAAAAAAACTACTGAATATATTTCAAATTTCTTTTTCTATTTTAAAGTACAATCCATACTTCGTAAATAATGGGAAATAATTTCATTCAATTCCTGTCTAAGTTTTAAATAATTGTCAAAAAATTCTAAATGGTCGCCAAAAAAAAGTTAGATGGCTTGTTTTTTTTAAAAAAGGGCTACTTTTAACTCTTTCTCATACCATTTAGTTTGACGAAACTTGGTTCCAAGTATTAGGCACTAACGCTCTTTCAGCTGATGCTCGAGTGTAAATACCTCAGATATACATACTTTTAGAAGACACTGTTGACCGTTATATAATTTAAATTTACAATTCGTCATATTTATGTTTGATGCTAAAATCTATTCGCAAACTTGCTTGTAAGATTTACGTTTGTGTTGACCATCTGTTCAGGACCCTGGTTCGTAATATTAATTTTTGGACCAAAATTTTCATCACGAGCCAGGTTTGTTAAAGGGAAGGAGTTAACACCAACTCTATTTTGAAAGTTCAATGAACAAGAAATAATTAAAACAATTTTTGTTTTGAATTTTTTTATGCGAAAGTACGATCCTTCCCTTTATACTCCAGTCAATCGAGCGTTTTGGGTCTGGATTTTAATACTGTTCTCCAATTTGCTTGAAATTTTGGAAATAGGTTCATCTTACCCTTAAGTTAAAAAGTGAAAACAATTTGGACTCCACGACCACCCCTGGGGCGGATGTTCCCCGCTTAAATAAGTATACTAAATATACGTATACTAAATATAAGTAATACTAAATTCTTTCATATGATAGGATATCGATCAGAAAAAAATATTTTAGAAAGTTTTTCGAAAAAACAAATACTAATAAGTTACTGACTACTAAAAATTAAAATACTTTTTGGCGTTTTTATTAAAACTATTTTTTTCATTTAGATCATATGGTTTCATGAGCGCCATTTCCACCAAAATCAAAATTCTTCGCATTTTATCTAGAATTAACTTCATTTTAGAGATCTTGACGGATTCTAGCAGATTCACTACTTTAGTACAAACTATTTTCAGGAAGCTCGCGATCTTATGAATTTTTTTTTTCGATTTTTTTAAATATTCAACTTATTTTCAATATCTTAAAAAAATAAAAGATACATATAAAAGTATGTAGATAAAAATTAAAGGGCTTTTTCTGGCTTTATATTGTTTTTTATTATTTTTCTTTCACACAATGATTGTTTAAAGAATTCGCGGCTGTGCAATGAGAGTCTCTCTCGAGCTCTTTAACTTTTCGCCATTTCAAAATGAGAGGATTTACATTAAATTTATGATAAAAAAGAGGTAGCCCTTCTAATTACCTTTCAAATGGTATATTACAAATTGTGATGGAGTCAGAATTAAAGGAGTTATGATCCAAAAACTATTGACTTATATATATGCTTATAATAAATTCTGATTTGCTATTTTATAATTAAATAATTTTTAAATATGCATTCATGAATATTAACTGTTAGTTTTAAGGTTTGAAAAATTTATAGATATGGTAATTATTTTTGACAATTTGAAATAACGTTCAAATCATTAATTTTTCCAATTTCAGAATTTATTTTTTAAACAAATTTTAATCAAGGGGTTGTGTTTTTAAGAATCGAAAAGGGTTGAAAATTTAATAAATAAGATAAAGAGAATGAAATATAATTTACTTTATACTTAAATTTTTTATGACCAAACTGAATTTTTAGGCGTTTTTTAATTCAAAGGTCGTTTCCAAGGGTTGTAGGGCTTTGAAGGGATTGAAAATGATGGTATTAGAAAATACTTTACAACTTACCCTTTAATATTAAACACATTTTCTGGCGACAAAATGGCTCAATGTCAATTAATACAAAAAAGGAACTTGGCGGGTAGCGGTGGCATTAACTCCACCGGGGGTGGTATCGGAGTGCAAATTGGTTTCAATGTTGAACCTAATGGTAAGATTAACCTATTTCCAAAATTTCATGCAAATCGGAGCACAGTAAAAATAGTCAGAGGTTACATCCTTTTTTCTTCTCCATTTACTGCACTATTAATAATTTCATTCAAAAGGCTGCCTAACTTTTAAATGGCTACCAAATAAAAACGTTAGATGACGGACCTGTAATTATCCAAAACATTTTTTTTAAAAATGCATTTAATTCATTTTGATTTATGTAGCTCATACGATGAAGACGACATGGCTATGAAGCTTGATAGTTTAGGCATGGAGATAGAATGTGACTCAACAAACGGCTTGCCTACTACTTCACAAACCACACCAAATATCAGCTCATTGTTTGAAACATATCGAAAACACCGTGAACAATGTTATGAGAGTGATGAACAAAATGGGTTACTGAACAATTTACAATATAATGATCTTAATACTCGAAATTATTTTAATGAACGTCTTAATAAAAAATACAACATAGTTGCCGCAAAAGACAGTGATGACTGTTCTACATAAGTAGTCTATAATATATATATATATATATATATATATATATATATATATACTTTTATTTTACGATGCCAAATATAATTGATCTATCATAAGCTAACAAGAATATTTTCTATATTGAACAAGTATCTTTAAGGATTTACGTTTAAGTTTATCAATCTTTAAGTATCATTAATTTGTGTCGAATATTCTGGCGAGTTAACAGAAATTGCGGCGAGTGAAATTAATCTCTACCTAAACTTCTATTAAAAGTATTGAGATGAACTATATAAAAACAGTAACAATTGCGATACCATCGTACTATATATTAATACAGTTCAATTTCGACTACCGAGTGTTTTTATTGCTTACTTACTAAAATTCGAAAAGAATCGTATAATGAAATGTATTATTGTTGGATTCAAGATATTACATGAAAAATATTTGCAAGATTTTTTTATCACGATATTTTCAAATTACTTTCTCCAATAATATTTCATTAATTGTGCTAATACTTTTGAAGTGTTTACAATTAACAGACTTTCGAGCAAGTGAGTAATTTTCAATTTTATTATTGATTACTTATAGTAATAGATATTTTTATAGTAATTTCTCTAAATAATTAGCTGTACTATTAAAAATTATCATTATTCAAGTAAGTTATCGCAGAAGAACTGAAATTCAATCGCTTTGCAACGTTATTAATAATATTAATTTACATATTTTACATAGATTATTTATATACTGTTATTTACATCATTAGTTTGTTAGATATGTAATATAAAGAGCAGTTTATTGATAGTTTTGTTTACATGATTTACTGGTTAATCTGTCATTGGCATCTAAAAAATTTAATGTCTAATGGATCATACCCATTTCATGTTTTTTAAAATGATAGATAACCAAATTTGCTATCGACACATATTTAGAAAAATTATTTAGGATAGATAGAGAATAAGCAATCATCATATTGAGTAGTTGGAGTAACGGATGGTTCAAAGTACTCAAAATATTATTGCTCGGATATATTATCGACTCGTACAATTTGTATCAGAAATATGATAAAAAAACAAAAATATTTCACGATAATAGTATTGCTGAGTGTTTGTTTCACAAACTAACATTTAATTGTCAAAGAATCAACATTTGAATGTTTATCGAAAATATATTCTATTCAATCAAACTATGGAACGAAATAGATTATTATTTTAAAAAAATAAAGTCTGAAATAATCTATCAGTATTGACTGTAAGGTCAATAACTACTCATTACTCAATACTATTGTAATACTACATACGACAAACTTAAAATTGAGGCTTTATATAGAATTTGTAATGAATATATACAGTTATTTCTCTGAGTTTTATAGTAAAATGATATTTTATAAGTATACTCTACTATGAAGCGTCTAAATATAACCTAAACACCTGCAGTATGCAAGTTGTCTAATAAAAACTTTTAATGAAAATTCAGTGGTGCAAAACATAACCCGAATTTTTATGAAAATGCGGCTGAATTCGCCGTAACAACCAAACAAATTAACAAATCGATTGACAAAAGCTATTACGTTACTCTTAATACGGCAAAATTAGCAAAGTTAAAATGAGGCTTTCTTTAAATGCGGAAGCCGTTGCAGCAATTTTGGTACACCTTTTAGATCACTTTAATTTAATAAAAGATCGTGTATATTTTACATAAAAATAATCGCTTTTATCTAATTTGTGTATTACAAAAATATTTAAATATTAGTTTTATTTTTTAATTATATTTAACAAAAAATATTTCTTCACGTTCATATGATATTAAGTTTTTATTTAATACACGATTCACTTAATTATTAGTTTGTTACGAACGACAAAAGTTATGTATACAGAGCATTGTAATATAAACATGAACACTAGTGTACCTATCAAAATTTTTAATTTACCTAATTCAAGGTATCAAATTTTTTTTAATATTTTTTCAATCCTTTTCGTAACAGTTTACAGTTTTTACACAGCTGTAAATGAATAGCTTATCATCAGAAATATATAAAAATTTGTTTATAGACTATTAAGTTTACTAATGTCTGTAAGTTTGTAGACTATTGGACAAGGTCTGATATTTTTATGTGTAATGATTAATTATTAAAAAAAATAGCCATATATAATATTTCGCATGCAACAAATTGTGCAGTTTATTGGATCATATGTTACTTTAAGATATGGTATATACCAAAGTATGGTTTATTTATATATTCCTTAAAAAATAATTTTAATATAAGATTTAGGCAAAACATTGTTTTTTTTTAATAACTAGAAAATTAAATATTCAAACTAAATGTAGATTATTGTTATATTGCGTGTTGTATAAAAAGAGTATTTGAATAATTAATATTAAAGATAATCGCATTTCAATTATAGCTAGTTTTTAACTTTTGTATGAAATATGTGTCTATAGTTCATTTTATTGAAACCTTATAAGATGAAATCATTATGTTCCATGAACTATGAATGTTCATTCCATGACTACATTTTTTATCTTTATTTTTTTTTTTTAAACTGATAGAAAAATCTGAAGGAAAACCTAGGCATACAAATTTTTCTTGATATAATATATGTTTTTAAAATATTCTATAATATATTTATATATATATATATATATATATATATATATATATATATTACATATAACAAAGTATATGTTGTTTTTGGGTAGTTAATGATTTTCAACTAATTACAAATTAAATGCATGTCTACAATCTTTTTATTTGATACACACTCAGACACACACACACATATATAAATATATATATACATCACCTTGAATTTATTTTGTTATATATATATATATATATATAGCAGAACCTCGATTAACCGGACTAATTGTTGTCGATAGGCATCCGGATAATCAAAAATTCGGATAATCCAATGTATGAAGAATAATGATGTGTATTTATCAAAAATAACAAATATACACATAGATATCAACGAAAATCAATGTTTAATAAGAAATTAACATTTCCTTATATATGTACATATATATTTGTTAGATTATATTACATACATATACTAAACTGCAGCATAAATCGTACAAAAATTCGAATTGTAGGTATGTACATACATATAACTCTGTCGCGGTTGGTAGTCCGGATAATCGCGAATCCGTATAACCGAGGTCCGGATAATCGAGGTTCTACTGTATATATATATATATATATATATATATATATATATATATATATATTTATTTTAACACTTTCTATTATATTATAAGGACTTACTCAATATGTTTATTGTATATGGTAGAGATCTTTATTTCATTGTTATTTTATAAAGTGGTTTAATATAATACATACTGTTTTCTAATATTTGTTTTTATTTCATGTTCTGCATACATATAAATACTGATCTCTATTTGCTAACACAAGTACTCGAACTTGTTAAAAATTTCTTTTTGCTCAAAAATTGAACAAACTAACGTATTTAACTTCCTAATTTATTCGGCGGTATAAACTAAATTCATATTTCTTTCTAATTGAAAGTTTAGTGAAAGTGAACAATCTGCTGCCTGAAGCCTTGATAGCAAGTAATTGAATCGACAAGGCAGGCTGCCGCCTGACGATTGCAATTCGGTGCGCAAGCAATCCAGACTTCAGACACCCGAACTGATGGGCTGAAATTTAATAGTGCACAATAGTGTTATGTAAACAACAAGTGTGAATATTAATCACATTAATCGAACGGATGGGCTGAAATTTAATAGTGCACAATAGTGTTATGTAAACAACAAGTGTGAATATTAATCAGCAAGTATTCAGTGCTACATTGTTTTGTACAACAAATACTCCTTTTAGGTGGGGGAGCGTTTAATTGTAAATAAGTGAATAATTTCATTACAATTATGCAAAATCAAGAAAATATAACTTATTCAATCCCTCCGTTAGTTGAAACTATCAACATTTATCACGATATGTCGACGATGGACATTGAATTTATCAAACAAGTAATCAATCAGAAAACTAATAGTTCAAATAATGGAAAAAATCAACCAGACGATACGATTATGGACGAAATAGTTCCGTCAACTTCTTGGCAAACAGTAGAACCAGGCAGCAAACGCAGACGTACATCGACTAATAAATACGTCGAAAATGTAAACATAACGCCGACTGGAAACAGGTTTGATGGATTAAAAACAACTAAAGGTCGTCCGTCCCAAACAACAACTAGCTATAAGTGGAATTCTGTCTTAAGGCAATTAGGGCATAGTGCCTTAAGGCAAATTGCTGGAACTTCCCGTACCGCAATTCAAAATTCGAGTAATTAAAAATAATCAATAATAATAATCAATAAAAGCTGATCAATGATTTGAAACTTTTAATAGAATTTCGAACCATATTAAATCATTCTACCTTAAATCATTTATTTTGAAATATTTTGGAAATTCTGAACTTTTTTTGCAAAGCAATCGTACTGCTTTAACTGCATAAAGAGGAAATATGAAAGCGCGTAAGCGCCGCGTCGCCAAAATTTAAATGGTAAACAAAATTTATAGTTATTGTTAAAAGTTAAAAAACACAAGCTGATTACACCGAGAAAACTACAAGGCCACCTCCAATATTTCGATATAATATAAATAATTTATGTGATATGATATCTGATATAGTGTAATAAACAATAATGAACAATATTATACAAAATCAATCTCGGACGATACAGTGAAAATAAATGTTCAACAACCCGAGCAATATAAGCTGCTTATAAACTTTTTGAAATCAAATAGTACTGTGGGAGATTGGCAGGTCGCGTCAATTTTAGTAAGCGAGGAAAAAAATAATAATTGACGTTGGGTTTTTGTTGGATCGTTTGTTTTGGCAATGTAAAATTTTGTT